TATTTTAAATCATCTGAATGACACTGGATAGCTATAAAAACGACAACTGATTTACAAAATATTATAACTTTAGTCTAAATTAATAGCCATTTAATATCTAGAACTAAACTTACCTATACTTCAGTACTTCTCAAACCACTAGGAGTATAAGGTAGCAGGTCAGGTAAACAAGACACAAAATAAATAGGGCACATTATGGTTCATTTAATGCAGTAGTAACTTGAAATAATTTTTTATATTTAATCAACTATCTATTATCAAGTAGGGTATAAAAGTTGCATGAAGTTTTAAAAAAGATTTCAAGGTAATCTTGAAAAGAGCTATTTTGGGTAGTCTTTCATTTGTCCACATAGACTCTGGTAGAAAAGGTTGAAAGAGTATTGTTTTAAGTGACTTTCATTGAAGACACTTCTATTATATTCTGATCTGTCCTGGACAACTCTGGTGATCAGCATTTTTAGCCTATAAATTTTATATGAGAAAAATGTTTTGTAGAAGTAACCACTGTGACCACAACCATATACAGCAGCATCAACTACATGTTGTGTCAAGAGGGAAAATGAGTTCTAGTAAAGCAGGCCACACTCTACCAAGGCCTCATGAGCAACCCTTGCTGAACAGAACAGGACAAGGAAACACTATCTTTAAAAGAAACTAGTAATAGGCTACTCAAGAATATTTACCTTTTAATCTTGCCATACTCTAAAGGTAGAAATATATTTTCGTAGAGAGACAACATGAGGGAGAAAGGACACAGAATTTGAAGTGCAAGGTGGAGTTTTGGTCTCAACTCTGCAACTTACTATTTAAGCGTAGGCCACTTCCTCGTCACTAAAATGTTAATAATGAGGTCAAATGAATAAGAAAGTATTGTAAACTAATAAAGCATTATAAAAGTTTTATGTATCATTCTCTTAGCTTTCAGAATATAGCAACAAGGAATAATGCAAAAACCTGGCTCTTCTTACCAAGTATCTTTGTAATTTTAACACGGTTATCAAGAATTTTTTTCTTTACTATTTATGCACAATAAGCAAGTCTAAAAACTGTAGCTAATAATGTAAGGATACAAAATTTTATAAAACATTGATATTCTTCAGACAATTTTTGTTATAACTTATGTTTACATTTTAAAAGGAGGGAGAGAGAGAATACTTTATAACAACATACCAAGTGGGCCAAAAGTTATACTGAAGTTAAACCTAACAAGTGACAAATCAAAAATGAAGGGACACAGTATACAAAAGTGTAAAAATCTAAAATTAATAGTCTTGCATTGCCAAAATCAACAATGCTGAGCAAGCCAGAGAATAATTTGTTAGACGCGTGTGAGAACTGTTTGACAATTTTATGTCATCACTTGCATTATAAAGGACCAGGATCTTGCTGCAATTATATACACTCCTCTCCATACAAACAAAAGGTATAAATGAAGTAATTAATTAAAAACCAAACATGATTAATTTAACATGACACAGTATTTTCAGTTATAGTAAATGTCATACTAGTGAACATTCACTAATTAAACTTGATCTTATAAAATGAGGACCATTTCAAAAAATTACTTGACCATCAGGCTTTTCCTTGTTTTTTAAAATCAATTTGAAAGGGACAGAAGTAAAATGATAAAAGGAAACTAGACAAAAATTAACACTGCCTTTATAGGTTTAAAGATACCCAAGGTGAGTGCCCTTATTTATCATTGTAATACAGGACAAAAATTCTCAAGAGCCTATTTTTTACTGGAGTCTCAAATAAATTTGCTTAGAGAAATATTATACATCAGGAAAAAATACTGGACTTTTTAAACAAATAAAACTCAGAGGAAAGCACATATGAAATTAGTTCACAATGGGTCTTAATTTTTAAATTTTTCCATTAAAATAGAATGCCTGATTTATTACGAGGCTTGATTCATTATTAAAGAATCTTTCCTCCACATCTTCCTCCTTCCAATTCTTTGGAATACTATTTATGTAGGCCACACAATAAAGAATGCTAATGCCATTTACTCTATAACATCATGACTTAAAATTACAAACCCTACAGGTAATATTTCTGTTTTTTACATGTATTACATGTGTACCTGGCATATAAATGTTAGTTACTATTATTACTTACTCAAATGATTCCATTAAATACTATGATTTCTAAGAGCTGCAACAGTACTATCTGAATTATCAAATGCCTCACTTTCCTCAAAATACTAAAGGTAAACATACAAGAGAAGTGACGAAGAGAGGAGGGAGAAAAAAACATACTCTAACATACAACAGAAGCCTTTTATTGAACATGATAGATACTGGTAATAGTTACTGTTATGGGCTGACTTACGACTTAGGTTATGTCCCTAAAATTCATATGTTGAGGTCTTAACCCTCAATGTGACTGTGTTTGGAGATAGGGCCTTTAAAGAGGTAATTATAGTTAAATGAGGTCTAAGGGTACAGACTTAATCCAATAAGATTGGTGTCCTTATAAAAAGAGGAAGAGACACCAAAAAGTGCAGACACACAGAGGAAAGGCCATGTGAAAACAGCGAGAAGGTGGATGCCTGCGAGTCGGAAAGAGAGGTCTCGCCAGAACCCAACCCTACTGACGCTTTGATCTTGAACTTCTAGTCTCCAGATCTACAAGAAAGTAAATTTCTGTTATTTAAGCCACCCAGTTTGTGGCATTCTGTTATGGCAGCCTGAGTAGCCTAATACGGTTACTTAATTGAAAAAGTCAGTAAGAGCAGGAAAAAATTAAAATGCTTAAACTTATTTTAACTTAAAAAACTGTATATTCATTTGACAATTTTTTGATGTACAATCAAGACCTATAAAGATTTCCAGTTTTGGCACTTACAAAGCAATCTGGGTACAAAAAACTAGATTGCAATAACTTTTTTCTAACTCACTTGTAATTCAAGACTCTATTTTAACAACTCACTTTATTCTTTCTAAAGCATTCAACTTAGTTTTTACAGAAATGACAACTTTAGTCTTACACTCATATTTAACTGGTCTAACTAGTATTTAATTAGATTACAAAATTACCATAACAAATATAACTGGCATAAACAGCTTTGAGAACAGCATAACTGATTCTTGGTAAACAGACAATTCAGCTGGTAGGTACAGAAGTACTGTATGTAGATACAGCAGAGACCAAGTAACTCGCCTGCTGAAAGTATTCAGCATATTATAGGCATCAGACAGTGTGTTATAGAGCAGGAATAGCCAGCACAGTTTAATCCACGGAGTTTGAAATAGATGTTAGATAAGAGGGCTTCTATGTACCAAATGAATATTGGTTATTCAAAATTGTCACTTTGGAAGGTTGTCATTGTATCAAACAATTTGTAAACCACTTGTGGAATTTCTAAATATGCAACGTTTAAAATGTTTAATGGTAAATCATCATCCTTGGAACAGGATTTGATTTCTAAAACTAATAATAACTTTCATTTAGTGACCTGTCAGGTATAAACTGTGAGCAGCAAAGTCTAATAATATCATTCGAAGAAAAGTGTTACTATAAAGCAAAATGACTCTTTAATATGAACATATTTCTTTAAAGGTAAATCTAAAAGGTAAGTTTCAAGAACATGCTGAATAATTATGAAAGAAATAGAATGAAAAAAAAAAAGAAATAGAATGAACACAAAGATGTCATTCCAAGGATATCAGACATTTGAATATAAATCTCTAGTACTATTGCTTTAAAAATGACTACCATACAATTTCATTTTAATTATATCACATATACCTATACATCTGTGTGTTTACGTATACATACACCTCCACATATATACATAGTAGACACCAATCAACTAATATACACATATAGGTTAGCTTTCTGAAATGCCCTGATATTGAAGCCTGATTACTGAGGATAGTTCAGGTCACACTGAAAATTCTGAATATTATTCACTAATAAAAATGAGTCACTAAAAAATTTTGCATAAGGAAGTTATAATATAATGAATGCAGTGTTTAGGAAGATTCATTTAACAGATAAAAAGTAGAGGTGTGAAGGAGAGCGATCACTGAGGAGACTGTGTCAGCATAAACCAGGTGTATGGTAATATGGATCTAAATTACAGACAGCAAATGGAAATAAAAATAAAGAACAAAAACAGGAATGATATAAAATAACATATGCAAAAGGCACTGAAAATATTAGTTTTCATTACCGTGAAAGAATCTATAAGGTGTAAATTAGATGAAAACAAGTCAAATGCAGACTAAAGGTGGGTGTGACAAAATCTTCAGATTACCACCATCTTTCTTCTGCTTGCCCTAAAGATCCAAGGCAAGAATGGCGCTTGTTCAAGTTTCCAGTGAACTTGGGAGAGCTTTAGTTGTCAATACAGAAAAGTACAGCTCAAAGAACATTTTGTAGATTTAATTAAGCTCCATTATGAGGCATTATTCATAATTAATTCTGATCTTGACATGAAATAACAGATGTTTTGTTCTTTCCTCTCAAGCTTAAATGAAGAGAGAGAGGGAAAGTGCGTGTGTGTGTAGGGGGTGGGTGCGGGGGTGTGTGCGTAAGAGAGAAAGAGAGAGACAACACATGTTGGGCCCTAACAGATGGGGGAAATATACTTTGTCCCTAATACAAAGCAATATACTCTCTTCATTATAGTCTGAAATTATGTACTACTTGATTTCTACTTCTGGAGAAAAATGGTTACTAGGAGATTGCTAATTAGACAACAGTTGTTTAACTAAAAGTGCTGTTTTATAACTAAGTTAGCAACAAGTTTGTCAAATAAAGGGAAGTTAGGGTCCACTTCTATTTCTACTCTTCTACCCAACTTCTATGTCCAACTCCTACCCTCCAACCAAATGCCACAAACCTCTTCAAGTTCTACCTCTTCCTGAATTCATCTGTAATTTTTTAAAAATCAAAGACTAACATTTCCAAACTCCATCACAGGAAAACTATTTAGAAAAATCGACTTTTGATTCTTTCAGAATTTATCTAAAAATACTAGGGAAATTTACCTCAAATTTCTTCACCTTTTCCATTGTGATCAAGCGCCTTGATGTGTGACTGGAAAGCTTCTGCTCACAGTTGCTAATGAGTTCCAGGCAAGGGTGCCAGGGCACCATCTCCTCCGTGTACCTGAGGAGAGAACAGCTGACGGTTACGAATACTCACATGTGCTGCCCACACAGAATCACCATGGGGGCCATCCCGTGTGGTACGGGACATCCTTCCACTACATGCTGTATCATTTTTCTTTCCTACGTACAGTATATGCTAACTGTTCCTATACTTTATAAACAATCTACCTGTACTTTAACAAAGCAAAGTATTTTAATTTTACCACATCTAAAAATGCAGCTTAATTTTTTACCTACAGAATGAGAGAGGGAGGGACAGAGGGAGAGAAAGGGAGAGAGAGGGATGAGGAGGGGGAGAGGGGGACAGAGAGAAATAATACAAGTGTGTTTTATTGAAGAATGCCAAACATTTAAACTACAAAAATACAGATGACAATTCCACCCCACAGAATCCCACAAGAGCAGATAAGACACACAGAAATATACTCTACAACACCCCTTGACATTCATGAGGGACAGATTCACCTGTAGATTTTTATAAATTCCCAAAGTATAAAGTCCACTATAGCTATACTTTCCCCTGTAAGATGAAGTGCCCTTGCAAAATTTTAACGACATCTTGAGACCGCTATTAAGTTTGCAAATACAAGACTAAAGTTATTTGTAAGATTGTTCAACTAAACTACATCTAAAGTAAACACTACAGATTGTATCAGTCCTCTGGTCATACGGACCAGGAAATAAAACTGAAGCTATGGCAATGAGTGGTGGAGACTGCTGCTGTACACCACATGAATGGAGATGAGGACACTAGAAAGCAGGACAGCCAGGTGCAGTAGTTCAGAACCTGGCATCTGACAGGTTGTTGACATCAATCTTGGCAGAAGAAACAGGTGGCAGATTTGGGGGAAACAGCTATGGAACAGGATGCGGAAGAACAGCCGGGGAGAGGGCTGACTAGGTATAGGTACCTTTAAGAATGCTGTGATTGCCGGTTTTTATTTTTCCTTTGCAAATTTTTATGCCTTTTGGGGAAGTCTGCATACATTTATTATATGGGCATCTTAAACCTCTGGTCCAAAATGGGAAAGGTGCCGATTAGTTCTTCACATAAAGGACTATGATCTTAGCTAGCTATTCTAATGCATCAACATTGTCTTCACCATCACTCTTTTACTGACTTCTCTAGGTCCCTCTGACCTTGGATGAGCTCTCCCTCTTTACCTCAACCACATCCTCAAAACCTTCATCACCCACTTACCAAGCAACATTCACAATGCACTTCACTTTATTATCAGCGGAAGGAATTTTCTTGAAGTCATGCTCTGCCTCCTTCCTTAGAGCTGTCCAACAAGTAATGACCACTTCAGATATCACCTCATCTAATAATTCTTTAATGTTCGCTATATAGCCAGAAACATTATACTTCTTATAACATTAGTTGACACCAGATTTGGAATCTTCATGCAAAGCATTTATGATATGAAGGAACTCATTCTACACCACAGTTGAGACTAAAATAAAAAGTGGTAACGGAGAGAGTATATACTCTTGACCTTAAGCTTGCAAACAGCAGGATCTGTGGATGTCTGAAACAATGTTCATCAAACTTAGTAATGTACTCTTTTTTTAAAGAAAAAAAAAAAACTTTTATTTTCTGGTAGATTGACTTGAAGTATTATTATTAAAATGTCATTTAAATATGTGCAAATATATATTAGAAATTTCTTATCCTTATATCCTAATATAACTACAAAACCCAAAATATATTTATAAATCAAATCCAAAAGTACAAAATCAATACAATTTTAATTAACATCTGTGACATGAATGATGCTAAACTGCTGAAGTTAAATTGTTGTGTTTGGCTTAATAGCAGAAAAACATATTTACATGTTTTATATATCTTTTCAACTCAATCTTTGATTTTAAGCATAAGGGAACATCATATCAGTAATCATTATCATTAACAAATGTATTTTTAACCACTAATCTGTTATATTAGCAAGCCAATCAATTTAATAGTATTCTCCCAAATACCATACTAAAAGAAAATAGCAGTTAAAAAATCATTCACTGTATATATAACAATATATTTCATACCAGTGTATGGTATGAACTGTCTGCAAACTGTTAAGTAGAAGATATAAATCTGTACTTTGCCTGAACTATAATGGTAATATACTACCCTACCTTAATTTCCTGTTTTCATTACTATCCCTCTACAATTCAAGTTATCTATTAAAAAACCAAATGAGCCAGAATAGGCAGATCCACAGAGATAGGTAAGTGATTGCCAGAGGCAGAAGAGGTGGTGATTGCTAATCTGCATGGGGTACTTTTGGGGGATGATGAAAACGTTCGTTCTGGAATTAGATAGTGGTGATGGTTGCACAACTTTGTGGATACCCTAAGAACCGTGGAGTTGTATAATTTAAAAACGGTGACTTTGAATTTCAAGGTATACAAATTATCTCTCAATTTTTTTAAAAAAAGCAAAAATAGTTGTGTGTATAGAGGCCCCTAGGTTTTTCATGAATCAATTTTTAAAGTCACTTATTTTTCTGCATATCTTCATGTCTCAAGCACTTTCCAAATATCACTGGAATTTCATGTTCTATACAAGAAACAGATTTTGCATTGATTTGAACACTTACTGAAAACAGCTTAATGAATCACGTTTTCCTGTTTCTTAGATAAAAGATGAAAAACATCTTTTCTTTACTGATCTGAACCACCAAGTTCATTTTACTACAATTAAAATTTATCCTCAAATCCTTCTTTGGGTCACATTATTAGGTTTCTTTGTCATCTTTTTAAAAAAATGTAATTGACAAATTATAATTATATATATTTATGGGGTATAATGTGATGTTTTGATATAGGTAAGTCATCATCTTTATCATTAACCCCAGTGGTTTGATTTCTATCAAAGGTCATCTTTCACAAAGAAACACAGTTTCCAAGCACTTCAAGAGTTACCTATGTGTGTGTAATAAAATTAGATAACAAGCCTATGTGGATATATGCAACCTGGGCAAACAGCTACATTTACTCAGGGCTTAGCAATTCCTATGACATCAAACACACACACACGTGTTGGATTTATGCCCTGTCGACATGAATATAACACAGATCTTCAGGGTCATTTGCAAGGAATCAAAATTGTGAATAGTAAACCCACAAATGCCAACAGTCTATAGTAATTGTATGTGGTAAGTCTCTATGAGTGGTAAGAACAAACCACTATGAGAGCACAGAAGAAGGACTGATTAATTCTGCTGAGAAGGGTCTGAGAAAGTGTCACAGAAGTGGTGACAATTAAGCCAGGACTTGAAAGATGACTACAATTTCACCAGATGAGGAAAGAAGAATGGGCATCTCAAGCAAGGGGGAAAGAATAAACAAAGGTGAAAAGATAAAGTACACACAGTATCTTGACACTGACAAAAATGACATACTAGAGTGGAAATAGTCTAGACTAGAAGAAAAACAGCAGAAGTTTGTGAGTAGCAGTTTCTTCACTACAATTTAAATTATCAGTGAGAAAGTCCTTTTTCAATCAACAGCTCTAACAATTTTTCACGTATCACTAAGCTTCTAGGCAGTATTTTGTTTTTATTATATCTTAAACTTTTCAATAGGTCCTGAGTTTAAATAATACCTGAACTTGGTTATAATGTGTAATTCTTATTTTTAAACTTGAATCATACAACAGGATTTGGCTGAGTAAATAAAATTCAGTAGTAGAACTGAAAGCCTACATTCACTACACCAAAAACACAAAAGTCTTAAAATTAAACTGTCCTAAGGCACAATTTTACATTGAACTCCTTTTTTATTCCTGGTCCAACAAAAAGCTACATTTTTAATAAAACATAATTCTAAACTGTTTAATTCATAAGCAAGAACATTATTTCAAACTTTTACAGATGACTTTAGTTTTAAATTCATCTTAATAACTGTGTTATTTTAAAAAGAGTAAATATTTTGAATAATATATACTACAAAAGTGAAAATAGTTCATTTTTCTAGCATAAACTCAACACAGACTAAGTTCGTTAATACGTTAACAATTAATAAGAATTAGTAATTCATTAAGAAGATCACTAGGCTTAAGGAAAGGAGAAGATACAACCGAGGTCTAGTAATGAACATCAGAGGACCTGAAAATAACTCTGTCCAAGGATAAATAGGTCAGGGACGTAAATGCTACAGTAGTCTTCCCATGTGTGTTAGCCACATACCTATAAGAAATCTATTCCCCAAGAAAACATCTAAGACAAAAAAAGAATTGATAAAACATGTCTCCCTTTTCTACTCCTAAAACATCCCTTTTGTTATATGTATTTGGAAATTTCTCCTTGTCCAAAATTAGTAAAATAGAGAAGTTACTGAAGAAATATCCAGTGGCTACTTCATAAAGTCTTTAGAAATATATTTAAAGTACCTATCATTTTACTTTTTAAAAAGGAATCATAAAAGAACTCCAAAAGTAATTCTTAACCACATATAATTTCAGTTGTAATTAAATAATAAACTACAAAGTAGTGAACAGTCAGATATGTTAGAAGGTAAGGAAGTGCACAATGACTAATGAGGATATTTCAAAAGGACAGGAAAGCCAGCTCAAAGAGATTCCTACTAGTCAAATCTAGGGCAATTTTAGTAACAAAATAAATGATAGTAGTAAATTACAGCCCAATGAATAATAAAAGAATCCATGACTCCATACCACTATAAATAAATAAATGGGGGACAAAGGAAAGCTCTTCCTTACAGAATGCCAACTTACAAATTCAGAAGGAATGATGGAACAGAAAATTCATCATTTGGCAACCACTATAGCAGAGGTTATCAACAATGGAGTCAGCAATGTGAGCAGTGGTTTGATGAAAAACACAGTATCAGTGTAATCTTGGAATATTTCCCCATAAAATACAAATCAAAGAGGAAAATAATGATTTGGAGAGGAAAAACCTGACAGAGAACAACATGAGCAGATGATCAAGGTTAACATCACCAGTAGAGGTCACTTTGAGTGCCCCATGATGTACTGCACAAAGATCATTTTTGTGGTCTTCTTACCAAAAAAGCATTATCTCAGTCTGGTCATAGGGGAAATACCAGCTAGACCCTGGTTGAAAGTCAAGCCTCAGAAAATAAGCTACATACTCTATAAAACTTTTAAGGACACAACAGATAAGGAAAGACTGAGGAGTATTCCAGACTGGAGGAGACCAAAAGATAAGATAGATGAATGCAGCACATTTTCCTGGATGCATTGCAATTGGTAATATTTGAATGGGGTCCATGATCTGGATGGCAATATTGTCATCAATGCTGATTTCCGGACTTGGAGGGTTGATCGTGGTGAGACAGGAATGTTCTTGTTTCTGAGAAATACAATGGAGTATACAGGGGTAACAGGGTATCATATCTGCAACTTCTCAAATGGTTTCAAAAAGATTAATGATAATGGATATGTGGGGGGGTAGGGGTAGGAGCATATATATATATTAATATTTGGAATATCTGAATGAGCATAGAAATGGGAGGTTTGGTATTTGAAATTTTTCTATAAGTTTGAAATTATTTCAGAATAATTTTTTTAAATTTTTAGCCCTGTAACTTGAATTAAAACAAAAAGTAAGTAGCTTGCTGCTGAAATTCAGTTTTTCTAAGGCAGAAACCATTTTTGCAAAGAAATGAACAAATATGCTCTTTTCTGAAAGTGTTAATAAAACCCCACCTATTGTTTCACATACCAGGTATATGAGATCTGGCAGGATGTTGAATTAAGTGAGCACAGCACAGGGAATAAGGAAACCAATTAGCTAGCTAGCTTTTAATTTTAGACTGGTCATTTCATTCCTTGGAATTAATTTTCTCCATTCTAAAATGAAGAGGTTAAATGAGATCATCACTGGCAACAAAACATAAACCCAGTGTTAAGGGACTTAGGCACCAATGTGTATTGTCTTACCAGTTCTTAAATACATGACTGAAGTTAGGCCATGATAACTTCTAATACAACATTTGTAAAATAAACAACAAAAACCAACACAGCTTCCAACTGCTGAGGAACCACCCACCATTGTGAAAAACAGACAAGTTATCACTGTTTTTTGTAGAATGCTTTTTGTACAATTATGTATAGTAAATATAGGAATTAAAATAATTTTATAAAAAATATTTCTATGGCAGATTGAAGAAATAACCAAATTTTGAGCTTGATACCATCTTTCAAATCTAAAAATCTCAACTTGTTCAAATATTGTGTCTTTCACTGTTGATGCACATAGCTCTGTTTATATTTAACAGTTATTAAATAATAAAACCCAAACATTGGGTAACATTGAACATAATCAAGGCTTTAAATATATGCATAGCTTTTATTTTGGTCTAAGTTTTTAAAAAGGATGTATTTCACTTAAGATAATTATAATAGCCAATATATACTAAAGCTAGCATTAGAAGGCAGTAGATACATCAATTACTCAGCTAAGTTGTTGAAAATTACCTATGTTTGTAGACTGGCAAAATAGCTATTGAACAGCTGTGATAAACAGGCACTGAGCTAAGTCTGGTATACAATAGGGGTTGGCAAACTTCCTGTAAAGGGGCAGAGAGTAAATATTATAGATTTTGGGGGGCTATATATTGTATGTTTCTGTCACATATTCTTTTATGTGTATGTGTGTTTTTTAACAACTCTTTAAAACTGTAAAAAACCATCTTAGCTAAAGGGCCTTATGAAAACAGGCTGAGGACCATATCTGGCCCACAGGTTGTAGTCTGCCAACCCCTGACAGAAAAATAAAAAAGTCAAAACAATTCAGTCAATAAGAGGAAGGAGATGATTTTACATACATATGAAGGTAAACAAAAACTATCACACATTAAATACAATGATACCCTGAACATAATTAGAGGTAAATAAAAAATTATGCTAGATATATAAACATTGTAAGAAAAATGAAATTAAAAATAAAATTAAGATTACATACTCTGGTGTATATACTGGTAACCAATAGACTAGTCTTCCACCTAATACCAGGGTCTCAGCTGCAAAGTTTAACAGGTCAAAATACATATCACTCAGATGATAACTCAAGGAAATAGGAACGTGGCTTTCTGGACTACAAAAGAAAACAAAATTTCAAAATCAGTGAAAAATTTTAAGACTGTTTAAGTTAACTAAAGAAGCAACATGCTTCTCAAAGTTCTAGCGCACCGTATTTAAATTTCACTTACCATTTTTCTATCCCCTTTGGTATTTCCTTCTGTGAACCTGTTCTTCTTATAGATTCTCTGATACCATATGGAGCTAGACAGAAAACACAGGTAACACAAACAGTCAAATGTCACTAAATCACCAGTGAAGGGCAGATATCTATCATGTGCCTTCAGATGTGACACCCTGAGAACACAACATCACCTATGCATTATTCCAACTGAGAATACACAACATAAAGAGTTGGGGGAGGGGGAACTGTTTTCAAAAATGTCAATGTCAATGTTTGTACCCCCATAATATCCTGAATTTAAAAAAAAAATGTCAATGTCATAAAAGACATGGAGAAGGCTGTGGAAATGTTACAAATCAAAAGAGGCCTAAAAAATATCATTGCTAAATGCAGTATGTAATTCTAGAGTGGATCCTGTACCAGAGAGAAAATATATGCTATAAAAGACATTACTGAGTCAACTGACAAAACTGGATGACAAACTATAAAGTATTATACGCATTTACTGAATCTGCTAACTATACTTTGGCTTTCTAAGAAATTCCTAAGAATTTCTCTATTCTTGGGAAATACACACTGAAGCGTAAGGGTAAAAGGCCACAATGAATGCCACTTACTCTCAAGCTGATCAGAAGAAAAAATTACTTACTTTATATAAATAAAGATACAGAGTAGGAGAGCAAATAGTAAAGCAAACTGTTAATTTTTAAAAATCACCCAATTTTCATAAAGTATATTCACACTGACACTATAATGCCTTGATAATTTTTCTTTTGTTAGATTTGAAACCATTTAAGTTACCAAAGAACTGAAGAGGGCTGAGATAGAAGGGCTCAACTCTGCCACTTTTTATAGATTTATTGTCAAATACTATTTGACAGGGCAGATGTACTCTTAGACAGGCTGCCTAAAAAGCCCAAGACTTCGTGAGGAATAGGAAAACAAGTTCTCATACACATTCCTGAAACTCAGCGGGTTCACAAGCCCAGTGGTTCACAGAACACCAAATTTCTTGTAACTCTAGAAAGGAGACGCCAGGGAAAACAGGCACTACAAAAACACAAATGCTTACACATAGAAAAATGTGTGATATCTGAAACTCTTTTCTTCGAAATTTAATAACAAACTGCAAATGACATTTTAGCTCCAGTTGGTATACTAATAACCAATTACAGTCATTACAAAAACAAATATATGCCTCAAAAAAATAAGTTGAAGGGGAAAACAGATGACGAGCTCTATAGATATAAAAATAGATTGGCAAGTCAATATATTTGCTTAAAAAACAAAACAATAAACCATTAATGACTTAGTTAAGTTGGTAACCTACCCTACATTCATAATTTTCTCCTTCTCACCGTATGAAGAAGTTGAGGGTGGGAGGAAGACTAACACAAGTTGACATTGTGTGTACATGTTGATAAATTTTGTACTTGAAATAAAAATGACTTTAGGAAACCAATCCTACTAATCCTACTTCTACTTTTGTATAAAAATAAACTTACGATCAGTGATAATTGCATCAAAATATGTGCCCTTCCTCCAGGAAGGTTTAGACGCATCTGAAACCAGGACATCAAGGTAGTACTTCTCTAAACCATACTGACGAAGATTTGCCCTAATATTTTCATCTGGTCCTCTCCATTTCTGGTTTTTCCTACTGGTCTTTCCTGAAGGGAAAGAATAAGGAAGATAGAAAATATGAGATCAAACAGAGCATTCTTACTTCCTATTGTTAGCTAAAAGTAATGTTTTAACTCATCTAAACCTACATTTACTCAAATAAAATTTGCTTTCATTTAAAATCTTAATTTATGTATACAAGTAAATAATTATTTTTATTTCAACTTATTATAAAAATATATTTTGAACAGAGAAACTACTGATGTCTAACCAATCTTATTCTGTCACCTTTCAAGTAAAACTGCCTTATGACATTCACTCAATACTTTCTGAGTACGAAGCATTTAGCAGTAAGATACAGAGTCGAATAGAAGAACCTGGCCCCTTTCCTTTAGCAGGAAACGGTCCTGTGTAGAGACAGTGTGAATCAGATAAATAAAATAGAAATGAAGAGAGCTAACTTGGGAAATTCAGTGACTATGATCATGAAGAAGGGAGGCAAAACAGGGACATTATTGATGAAGAAACGTTAAAGTGGGGGCTGAGAGAAGGCTAATTAGAAGTTCAAATGTTTCTAGTTTTAGAAGACATGGTAGTTTAGGATGATAATACCAGTGATTAAAAATCAGGAAACCAGGAGGAAAAACAAGCATAGGAAAAAAGATGAGATTTATCTGCAATATATCAATCTTGATATACCTTGAAGTACCTGCAGAACATTCAGAAAGAGACACCCAGCAGGTAGTTGAAGGCTGGAATATATACACTTGGGAGATATCAATATATAAACTTAAGTAGAATCCATAAGAATGAATGACAGTTTTTGTTAACCTAGGTGGTAGTTACGTAAGTATTTGCTCTATAATTATCCTTATATATTATATACTCTTCTGTATTATGATCAACTTCACAAGAAAAAAATCAAAAGAAGAATGACATGACACTGAACAATAAACACTGCGATAGGAGAAGGGGTCAAAGATAGATGCTTGGAAAAAACAGTGAGTAAACAAAGATCAGAGGAAGTTGCAGGGTCTTTATGAGACTAAGATGAAACAGTCAAAGAATTAAAAGTACCACCCAATGAGACCACTGTCTAGGAAATTTGCAAGGGAGGTTTTTTGAAGGTCAACATTGCCAAATGCTGTAGATCTGTGGCCTTAGTAAGTGGTTTCAGTAGAACAGTAGGCACAGAAGCTGGAAAATAATAAGTAGAGAGTGAAAGATGAAGAGGAGATAACAAGTTAATACTAGTTTTTCAAGAAGCATTTTGGCAAAAGAAACAGAAAAACAAGGTGATAGCTAGAGGGCCCTATAGGATTGATAGAAAAAGTTTTATACTTTTAAAACCAGAGAAACTTGAGACTATTTTAGAATATAGTAAGAGATTAGAAGTATAGGAAACAGGCCAGGTGCAGTGGCTCATGCTTATAATCCTAGCATTCTGGGAGGCTGAGGCAGGAGGATCACTTGAGCTCAGGAGTTTGAGACCAGCCTGAGCAAGAGTGAGACCCCATCTCTACTCAGGAGGCTGAGGCAGGAGGATCACCTGAACCCAGGAGATGGAGGTTGCATGCAGTGAGCTATGATGATGCTGAGGTGACACAGCAAGACTCTGTCTCCAGAAAAAAAGTATAGGAAACAGATCTAACAGCATCTTGGATAAGCTCTGAAGAGACTCTACCTCAATTAGAATTCTACCCAAGTAGAGCGAAGGTTATAACTTTTTGAACATAACTTTAATAAATAAAAATTCAAGTAAATTATACAGGTCAATTTCCTTAAAACAAATATACTGCTTCTAAAAGCAAACTGAAATAATTCTTCTTAGCATTTTGTTTACTCTAACATATTGCAGATAAAGAATATCCTTTTCTGGTTAGCCCATTTATGTAAACCTGATAAATTATAACTCATTTTCTTCCTAAGAAATATTACTAAATTCTTTATAGTCAAGGTAGGGAAAAAGGTCATTAGTACAATATATCAAACTGCTTCAGCAAAACAAAATAAACTACTAATATAATAAATTCACACCCATACAATAACTTATACTGGGTGAGGAAAAGGAAAAGAATGTTTTAAGGGCTGATTCAAGTTTAATGGAATACCACCATAAACACAAATAATCTCAAAACCATCAATAAAAACTTGATATTTTTAATACCATTAAGCTATAAAAAAAATACTTTTTCAGTTTGATTCAATTCCATCCAATCACACGTCATTATTGACATTTCTAGAATTTAAAATATTTTCCAAAATTACCTCAAAAACAAAGCAGATGCTTGTCTCAAGTATCCTCAGTCTAAGGCAGAATCTTTAAAGTTACTGTCACCTTTAAGTGTTTCAAAGATGTTTCAGTCAGTTATGAAATTAAAGACATATATGATACCTCAAAGACTGGTTAATCCAGTATACATTCTATGTATAGTTATTGAATGGCAGTAATCTTTAAATATAAACTCTATATGTCTTATTAACATGCACATGCTGATTACAAAACAAAATGGTCATATCTTTCTCCTACTTCTTCTCTGCTAACCCATAAGTTCCCAAAGATATAGTTTACCTACTTTTTTTTTTTTTTTTTTTTACCTTCCTACTAAGTCTACAAACACCTCTGGTGGGGAGGGCCTTTTCTTATTCATTTTTGTGTTCCCTCAGGAAATCATTTTGTTGACACTGGATTACTTCATAAAATGTAGATACTCAATGAAGTCTTGTAAAAATAAGTAAAATTACAAGTTTGTATTTTAACATTAAAATAATATCATATAATACTACAGTTGACTCTTGAACAATGCAGGAGTTTGACTTGCTGTGCAGTCAAAAACCTACATAGAACTTTTGATTCCCCAAAACCTTAACTACTAACAGCTTATTATTATATTTACTATAGGTAGTAAAAATATATTTACTATTCATTAAGTGGAAGTGGATTATCATCTTCACATTGAATAGGCTGAGGAGGAGGAGAAAGAGGAAAGGTTGGTCTTGCTGCTTTAGGGGTAGCAGAGCTGGAAGAAAATCCAAGTATAAGTGGACCCGTGCAGTTCAAACCCTTGTTGTTCAAGGGTCAACTGTGTTTTATTATTTTATCTCCCTTCCCCCCCTTTTTTTTTCAGAGACAGTGTCTCCCTATGTTGCCCAGGCTGGACTCCAACTCTGGGCTCAAACAATCCTCCTGCCTCAATCTCCAGAGTATGTATTTTATTATTTTAAAGGCGTTGGTATAACAGCAAAGACTATAACACTGTCTATAACCTTTACTCACCTAAACCGTGAACCGTGTTGTAGTCTATGTCTGTCCCATATACATAGGCACCAAAATGAGCAGAAGCTATCAGGAGGCCACCTGAAAAATCACACAATTATGACTTATTAACCAGAAAGTCCCAGACTCCTTTTCTTCCTGTAATTAATTTGATCCAGTTTTACAAACTAGCTGCAGGCAGAGTACCCTGGAATGACACTGATCCTGGCCATATTTAGCAAGCCTCAGAACTGAAAAAACAAATCCCTAAGCTGTATTCGTTAAATTGGTCACAAGGCAGGGAATTAATGTATGCCCTGGCATCATTACTTTAAACCACACTACTTAGGGAAAATTATCTTTTTTTTTTAGTCAAAATAATGTATATTTAGACATTTTCTTC